GGGGAGGAATAGCGCCCCATCGTTGGTGTCAGTGGGGGGAGGAATAGCGCCCCATCGTTGGTGTCAGTGGGGGGAGGAATAGCGCCCCATCGTTGGTGTCAGTGGGGAGGAGGAATAGCGCCCCATCGTTGGTGTCAGTGGGGGGAGGAATAGCGCCCCATCGTTGGTGTCAGTGGGGGGAGGAATAGCGCCCCATCGTTGGTGTCAGTGGGGGGGGAGGAATAGCGCCCCATCGTTGGTGTCAGTGGGGGGAGGAATAGCGCCCCATCGTTGGTGTCAGTGGGGGGAGGAGTGGGGGAGGAATAGAATAGTGCCCCATCGTTGGTGTCAGTGGGGGAGGAATAGCGCCCCCCATCGTTGGTGTCAGTGGGGGGGAGGAATAGCGCCCCATCGTTGGTGTCAGTGGGGGGGAGGAATAGCGCCCCATCGTTGGTGTCAGTGGGGGGGGAGGAATAGCGCCCCATCGTTGGTGTCAGTGGGGGGAGAGGAATAGCGCCCCATCGTTGGTGTCAGTGGGGGAGGGAATAGCGCCCCATCGTTGGTGTCAGTGGGGGGGGGAGGAGGAATAGCGCCCCATCGTTGGTGTCAGTGGGGGAGGAATAGCGCCCCATCGTTGGTGTCAGTGGGGGGGGAGGAATAGCGCCCCATCGTTGGTGTCAGTGTGGGGGAGGAATAGCGCCCCATCGTTGGTGTCAGTGGGGGGGGAGGAATAGCGCCCCATCGTTGGTGTCAGTGGGGGGGGGGGAGGAATAGCGCCCCATCGTTGGTGTCAGTGGGGGGGGAGGAATAGCGCCCCATCGTTGGTGTCAGGGGGGGGAGGAATAGCGCCCCATCGTTGGTGTCAGTGGGGGGGGAGGAATAGTGCCCCATCGTTGGTGTCAGTGGGGGAGGAATAGCGCCCCATCGTTGGTGTCAGTGGGGGAGGAATAGCGCCCCATCGTTGGTGTCAGTGGGGGAGGAATAGCGCCCCATCGTTGGTGGTGTCAGGGGGGGGAGGAATAGCGCCCCATCGTTGGTGTCAGTGGGGGGAGGAATAGCGCCCCATCGTTGGTGTCAGTGGGGGGGGAGGAATAGCGCCCCATCGTTGGTGTCAGTGGGGGGGAGGAATAGCGCCCCATCGTTGGTGTCAGTGGGGGGGGAGGAATAGCGCCCCATCGTTGGTGTCAGTGGGGGGGGAGGAATAGCGCCCCATCGTTGGTGTCAGTGGGGGGGGAGGAATAGCGCCCCATCGTTGGTGTCAGTGGGGGGAGAGGAATAGCGCCCCATCGTTGGTGTCAGGGGGGGGAGGAATAGCGCCCCATCGTTGGTGTCAGTGGGGGGAGGAATAGCGCCCCCATCGTTGGTGTCAGTGGGGGGAGGAGAATAGTGCCCCATCGTTGTGTCAGTCAGGGAGGAATAGCGCCCCATCGTTGGTGTCAGTGGGGGGGGGAGGGAATAGCGCCCCATCGCGCCCCATCGTATTGGTTCAGTGGGGGGGGAGGAATAGCGCCCCATCGTTGGTGTCAGGGGGGAGGAATAGCGCCCCCCATCGTTGGTGTCAGTGGGGGGAGGAATAGCGCCCCATCGTTGGTGTCAGTGGGGGAGGGAGGAATAGCGCCCCATCGTTGGTGTCAGTCAGTGGGGGGAGGAATAGCGCCCCATCGTTGGTGTCAGTGGGGGGGGAGGAATAGCGCCCCATCGTTGGTGTCAGTGGGGGGAGGAATAGCGCCCCATCGTTTGGGTGTCAGTGGGGGGAGAGGAATAGCGCCCCATCGTTTGGTGTCAGTGGGGGGGGAGGAATAGCGCCCCATCGTTGGTGTCAGTGGGGGGGGAGGAATAGCGCCCCATCGTTGGTGTCAGTGGGGGGGGAGGAATAGCGCCCCATCGTTGGTGTCAGTCAGTGGGGGGGGGAGGAATAGCCCCCATCGTTGGTGTCAGTGGGGGGGGAGGAATAGCGCCCCATCGTTGGTGTCAGTGGGGGGAGGAATAGCGCCCCATCGTTGGTGTCAGTCAGTGGGGGGGGAGGAATAGCGCCCCATCGTTGGTGTCAGTGGGGGGGGGAGGAATAGCGCCCCATCGTTGGTGTCAGTGGGGGGAGGAGGAATAGCGCCCCATCGTTGGTGTCAGTGGGGGAGGAATAGCGCCCCATCGTTGGTGTCAGTGGGGGAGGAGGAATAGCGCCCCATCGTTGGTGTCAGTGGGGGGGGGAGGAATAGCGCCCCATCGTTGGTGTCAGTGGGGGAGGAATAGCGCCCCATCGTTGGTGTCAGTGGGGGGAGGAATAGCGCCCCATCGTTGGTGTCAGTGGGGGGGGGAGGAATAGCGCCCCATCGTTGGTGTCAGTGGGGGGAGGAATAGCGCCCCATCGTTGGTGTCAGTGGGGGGGAGGAATAGCGCCCCATCGTTTGGTGTCAGTGGGGGAGGAATAGCGCCCCATCGTTGGTGTCAGTGGGGGAGGAATAGCGCCCCATCGTTGGTGTCAGGGGGGAGGAATAGCGCCCCCCATCGTTGGTGTCAGTGGGGGAGGAATAGCGCCCCATCGTTGGTGTCAGTGGGGGGAGGAATAGTGCCCCATCGTTGGTGTCAGTGGGGGAGGAATAGCGCCCCATCGTTGGTGTCAGTGGGGGAGGAATAGCGCCCCATCGTTGGTGTCAGTGGGGGGGGAGGAATAGCGCCCCATCGTTGGTGTCAGTCAGTGGGGGAGGAATAGCGCCCCATCGTTGGTGTCAGTGGGGGGAGGAATAGCGCCCCCCATCGTTGGTGTCAGTGGGGGAGGAATAGCGCCCCATCGTTGGTGTCAGTGGGGGGAATAGCGCCCCATCGTTGGTGTCAGTGGGGGGGGGGAATAGCGCCCCATCGTTGGTGTCAGTGGGGGGGGAGGAATAGCGCCCCATCGTTGTGGTGTCAGGGGGGAGGAATAGCGCCCCATCGTTGGTGTCAGTGGGGGGGGAGGAATAGCGCCCCATCGTTGGTGTCAGGGGGGAGGAATAGTGCCCCATCGTTGGTGTCAGGGGGGGGAGGAATAGTGCCCCATCGTTGGTGTCAGTGGGGGGAGGAATAGCGCCCCATCGTTGGTGTCAGTGGGGGGAGGAATAGCGCCCCATTGGTGTGGTGGTCAGTGGTGGGGGGAGGAATATAGCGCCCCCATCGTTGCCCCATCGTGTGTCAGGGGGAGGAATAGCGCCCCATCGTTGGTGTCAGTGGGGGGAGGAATAGCGCCCCCATCGTTGGTGTCAGTGGGGGGGGAGGAATAGTGCCCCATCGTTGGTGTCAGTGGGGGGAGGAATAGTGCCCCATCGTTGGGTGTCAGTGGGGGGAATAGGAATAGCGCCCCATCGTTGGTGTCAGTGGGGGGGGAGGAATAGCGCCCCATCGTTGGTGTCAGTGGGGGGGGAGGAATAGCGCCCCATCGTTGGTGTCAGTGGGGGGGGGAGGAATAGCGCCCCATCGTTGGTGTCAGTGGGGGGGGAGGAATAGCGCCCCATCGTTGGTGTCAGTGGGGGGAGGGAATAGCGCCCCCATCGTTGGTGTCAGTGGGGGGGAGGAAAGCGCCCCATCGTTGGTGTCAGTAGGGGGGGGAGAGGAATAGCGCCCCATCGTTGGTGTCAGTGGGGGGGGAGGAATAGCGCCCCATCGTTGGTGTCAGTGGGGGGGAGGAATAGCGCCCCATCGTTGGTGTCAGGGGGGGAGGAATAGCGCCCCATCGTTGGTGTCAGTGGGGGGGGAGGAATAGCGCCCCATCGTTGGTGTCAGTGGGGGGGGAGGAATAGCGCCCCATCGTTGGTGTCAGTGGGGGAGGAATAGCGCCCCATCGTTGGTGTCAGTGGGGAGAGGAATAGTGCCCCATCGTTGGTGTCAGTGGGGGAGGAATAGCGCCCCATCGTTGGTGTCAGGGGGGAGGAATAGCGCCCCATCGTTGGTGTCAGTGGGGAGTCAGTGGGAGGAATAGCGCCCCATCGTTGGTGTCAGGGGGGAGGAATAATAGCGCCCCATCGTTGGTGTCAGTGGGGGAGGGAATAGCGCCCCATCGTTGGTGTCAGTGGGGGGGGGAGGAATAGTGCCCCATCGTTGGTGTCAGTGGGGGGAGGAATAGTGCCCCATCGTTGGTGTCAGTGGGGGAGGAATAGTGCCCCATCGTTGGTGTCAGTGGGGAGAGGAATAGTGCCCCATCGTTGGTGTCAGTGGGGGGAGGAATAGTGCCCCCATCGTTGGTGTCAGTGGGGGAGAGGAATAGTGCCCCATCGTTGGTGTCAGTGGGGAGAGGAATAGTGCCCCATCATCGTTGGTGTCAGTGGGGAGAGGAATAGTGCCCCATCGTTGGTGTCAGTGGGGAGAGGAATAGTGCCCCATCGTTGGTGTCAGTGGGGGAGAGGAATAGTGCCCCATCGTTGGTGTCAGTGGGGGAGAGGAATAGTGCCCCATCGTTGGTGTCAGTGGGGGAGGAATAGTGCCCCATCGTTGGTGTCAGTGGGGGGGGAGAGGAATAGTGCCCCATCGTTGGTGTCAGTGGGGGGGAGGAATAGTGCCCCATCGTTGGTGTCAGTGGGGGGAGGAATAGTGCCCCATCGTTGGTGTCAGTGGGGGGGAGGAATAGTGCCCCATCGTTGGTGTCAGTGGGGGGGAGGAATAGTGCCCCATCGTTGGTGTCAGTGGGGGTCAGTGGGGGGAGGAATAGTGCCCCATCGTTGGTGTCAGTGGGGGGGAGGAATAGTGCCCCATCGTTGGTGTCAGTGGGGGGGAGGAATAGTGCCCCATCGTTGGTGTCAGTGGGGGGGAGGAATAGTGCCCCATCGTTGGTGTCAGTGGGGGGGAGGAATAGTGCCCCCCATCGTTGGTGTCAGTGGGGGGGAGGAATAGTGCCCCATCGTTGGTGTCAGGGGGGAATAGTGCCCCATCGTTGGTGTCAGGGGGAGGAATAGTGCCCCATCGTTTTGGTGTCAGTGGGGGGGAGGAATAGTGCCCCATCGTTGGTGTCAGTGGGAGGAATAGTGCCCCATCGTTGGTGTCAGTGGGAGGAATAGTGCCCTATCGTTGGTGTCAGTGGGAGGAATAGCGCCCCATCATTGGTGTCAGTGGGAGGAATAGCGTGCCCCATCATTGGTGTCAGTGGGAGGAATAGTGCCCCATCATTGGTGTCAGTGGGAGGAATAGTGCCCCATCATTGGTATCAGTGGGAGGAATAGTGCCCCATCATTGGCATCAGTTGGAGGAATAGTGCCCCATCATTGGTGTCAGTGGGAGGAATAGTGCCCCCATCATTGGCATCAGTTGGAGGAATAGTGCCCCATCATTGGTGTCAGTGGGAGGAATAGTGCCCCATCGTTGGTGTCAGTGGGGGGGAGGGAATAGTGCCCCATCGTTGGTGTCAGTGGGGGGGAGGAATAGTGCCCCATCGTTGGTGTCAGTGGGGGGGGGAGGAATAGTGCCCCATCGTTGGTGTCAGTGGGAGGAATAGTGCCCCATCATTGGTGTCAGTGGGAGGAATAGTGCCCCATCATTGGTATCAGTGGGAGGAATAGTGCCCCATCATTGGTGTCAGTGGGAGGAATAGTGCCCCATCATTGGCATCAGTTGGAGGAATAGTGCCCCATCATTGGTGTCAGTGGGAGGAATAGTGCCCCATCATTGGTGTCAGTGGGAGGAATAGTGTCCCATCATTGGTATCAGTGGGAGGAATAGTGCCCCATCATTGGCGTCAGTTGGAGGAATAGTGCCCCATCATTGGTGTCAGTGGGAGGAATAGTGCCCCATCATTGGTGTCAGTGGGAGGAATAGTGCCCCATCATTGGTGTCAGTGGGAGGAATAGTGCCCCATCGTTGGTGTCAGTGGGGGGGGAGGAATAGTGCCCCATCGTTGGTGTCAGTGGGGGGGGAGGAATAGTGCCCCATCGTTGGTGTCAGTGGGGGGGAGGAATAGTGCCCCATCGTTGGTGTCAGTGGGGGGGAGGAATAGTGCCCCATCGTTGGTGTCAGTGGGAGGAATAGTGCCCCATCGTTGGTGTCAGTGGGAGGAATAGTGCCCCATCATTGGTGTCAGTGGGAGGAATAGTGCCCCATCATTGGTGTCAGTGGGAGGAATAGTGCCCCATCATTGGTGTCAGTGGGAGGAATAGTGTCCCATCATTGGTATCAGTGGGAGGAATAGTGCCCCCTCATTGGTGTCAGTGGGAGGAATAGTGCCCCATCTTTGGTGTCAGTGGGAGGAATAGTGCCCCATCATTGGTGTCAGTGGGAGGAATAATGCCCCATCATTAGTATCAGTGACACCAATGATGGGGCACTATTCCTCCCACTGACACCAATGACACTTGCTGACCCCTGTTGCAGTATGGTGCTGCTGCAGCCAGCATATGTGGTTGCAGCAGCACCTCTGCACTGCACACTTACCGGCTTTTCCCTCACTCGATTTTCGTGGGTCCGCTCGGCTCCGCCTCCTCGCCCGTGATTGGCCGCCTGTGTACCTTTCCTGAGCTACAGTTCTGGCGGCCAATCACCGGTGAGGAGGCGGAGCCGAGCGGCAGGGAGTGAGGGAGTGGCCAGAGTGACGGAAGGAGCAGCGCTTCCTGGATGGATCATCGTGGGAGCCAGGTAAGAGACAGCAGCCCTCTGCCCACCCCTGTACTTAGTGTCCCTTCTGTCGGAAGGGGGGGGGGGGGGGGGGGGGGGGCGACGCGCCCCCCTTGACGGAGCCTCGCGTGCCCCACTGTTTGAGAAGCACTGCCCTAAGGAGAGGAGAGCTACAATGAGATGCATTAACTGAACCAGTCACTGGAGCAAGTCAAATATCCGTAAAGATTTTACTTTGCCCAGATTCAGGGGCGGACTGACAACTCATGGGGCCCCCGGGAAATAGGGGATCATGGGGCCCGTGTGTCCTTGCCCAAACTCAAAAAAGCCTATGAAAAAGGTCCCAGGGGCATCTCATGGGGCTCCCTACTGACCCCGGGCCCTCGGGCACTGCCCGAGTTTCCAAATGGTCAGTCCGCCCCTGCCCAAATTGTATCCAGATCTCCTGCAGTTAAAAAAAAAAAAGTCTTGTCATCGCGGTCTGCAGAATCAACAGAAAGCAAGAGAATCTCTTTCCAATATTAATAAAAATCCCATTTTGGATGGTTGTCAGAGAATCAAGTGTTCCTATTGGGCAATTTCTCCTCTATTTCTGCTCTGGTGGCAACTCAAAATTATGGCCCCCACTCCAATCTAAAATTGAAACTGTAGCTAAAGACAAAACTTTTTTTAAGTTTTGGACAGAGTGAAGCTGGATTAACGGCCTCCCGCCCGCTATATGACGGGCGCAAGGCGGTCCTCCCTCTCTAACCACACATGCGCGGCTCCGGGAGCAAGTAGCGCGGCGATTGCAGGGACACAGCGGATCACCGATCAACGGAAAGAGCCGAAGACGTCGGCTCGGTCATGTGATCAGCTGTGTCCAATCACAGCTGATCGCATGCAAATAAGGAAATGCCGGTTATCGTCATTCCTCTCCTCATGAGCTGACAGAGGAGAGGAGAGCCGGTAATC